CACACACATATATACGAATAAATTGAGTAGTTTGGCATTAATGTAACAAAGCACCATTTATTTCTGCCTTAAATATTCCATGAACATTAACTTGACAGGTGTTAAGAGTAGGAGGTAAAATATGTTTTTATGTGTTTCACATAACTGACAGAGAAGTTTCTTTTAATTTTCAAATATTAAAGGTTTATTTTAACGTTACACTCTGCTGCCACTTTATGAAYCCCATTGCTTCCTGTAGTAGAAACATGTTGAGGTCAAGCTTTGTTTTCACGTTTCCTTTCTGAACTCTTAAGGATCTATTTCCAGTAGTTACATTTATCATAACAAGTAAATGTAAACTTTTAATTTGTGCATAATTTTTAGGTGGTAATTACAATGCTTATTGCTTGAGCTTTTCTGAAGCATTTTCCATGTTAAAGGGGACATATTCAAAATCTACATTTTTAGTCATTAAATATATTTTGTTGAGTACTTGTCTCTCCCAGGGCTGTGCAGATATACTGTATGTATGTTCTGTTTGGGTCAGATTTTTCAACCCCTCCAGTTTTCTGTGACAATTTTGGAACTATTATGCCACAGTATTTGCAATGCAACTGCCGAATAAGGGCAGGACTTACCAACTTACAACTCTTGCACTGGGTCAGACTCGTCCCAACAWGTAAGGCTGGATGGACAAGTCTTCAGTTGTCAAAATCTTTGAAATAATTTGTAAATAAAAAAGTTTTTGCGACACTAGATAGTCATAAACCCCTCTATCAAACTACAATGAACCGCTTTGGAAACTAAAGCGGAGCAGAGTGTGAAGCACCTCGTTTGGATTTAAAGAGAAAGCATCAATTTAGTTGATCTGAGACACACCTCAAAAAAGGGACGAAAGAGGGGCTGGTGGAGTTACAGTAAGGAGGAATTCAGACCAAAGCAATGTAGTTCCACTTCATATAGGCCCCAACTGAATGATTTAAATGTGGAAAAGAAGGATATGTCTCCTTTAAACTAGCTTCTGTTCTGATTGTTGTTCTATAGCCTGTGATTAATGTGGCTTTTAGGGATATTGCTCACCATTTATTAGTGTAACACTGTTACCCATTTTGTTACTGGATTCAGAATGTAGGGAAGAAACTGCAAGGGGAAAACTCCATTTCAGAGCATCCCTTTATCACGTTATTCTTCTTTTCCAGTCCCAAAAAAACCATAGAACCATTCCTTCAGTCTGAAACAATCCCCTCCCATGTTCATGGAAACGTTTCTGTAAAATAAACCATTCAGGTTTTAAGATGCATCGATGATCACATTGCATCCCTCTGAATCACCATCTAATCATGAGGTGCCTAAAGATTCCCACCCCTGCCAAATAGAACCATGGTCTATAGTGGAGGTTGAAGTAAACAATGTGTTTTCTGCACAAATGCCAGATTCCTCTTCTCTCAAGATGCCAAACATGATTATGTTTTAAAGAAAGGTAGATGCAGATTAAAGGAACATTCACAATAGCATCCACTGTCCATTTTCCCCTCCTCTATCCTGTGACTGCTTGTGTCTGGGTTTTTCCCCATGCATATTAGGCACAGGTGCAAGAATGGCCCAAGGCTCATCAAAGGATTTTTTTGCTTTCCCAGCAGAAGCCCCCATGGGCTATCTCTTCCGATGCTTCACGAGCCATTGCCTGGAGCAAGGATTTGAAACGTGTCCACTGATAAATGAACACCCCATTTGAGCCAGACCCCTGTCCTTTGTTCCTTTTATTTTAGATTGCATGGCTTTATTAGAAGCCACGCTGGTTGCAAGTTAGAGAGCTGTTGTATAAAAGGGGATTCTGGGCTCTGAAAGCCACGTTAAAATTGCCTCGCTTTCATTTTCATAGAACAGAACGAGGGAGCAGGGGCAGCAAGGTAAGTATCCCAGTGTGGTCCAGCTGCAGGTATATTTTCAAAAGGTTTAGGATTTCTTTGTTTATGAGGAGTCTCTTGTAATGTGTTTGGTCACACAGTTACTGTATTACAAATAACGCTTTCTATTTAAAACTGGAGACTTCCGTTTCACAGTTAGTGTTTTGTCATGAGTGTATAAGAAATGATTAAAACACTGCAGATATTTTCATGAATACCATTTTTGTTGTAAACTCTCATTTGTCTTGCTTGTGTTTCTAGTTTTTGGGGCCAAACATTTTTACATTAACTACATTTAAATCTACAACGAAAATTATTCAAAGAGGGAAATTGTTGCAGTTCTGGAGTGTAAATGGAGTGTTTTTCATTTGTACCTTCAAATATGTGTCAGCCCATTAAAGGAAATTAAATGACTTGACTGACATCCTTAGGGACCATGAATCTGCCGTCTCATTGGCTTTGCTTTTTTTGCTGGCACATACAAACACTGGAAACTCATTTTCACAGCACTGCATGTGCACAGCGAATATCTGTAGATTATTAAATTCAAAACACTCGTCTTTGATTAATGCTTTGTCTGCACTTCTGCTCGGGGCGTGGGGGCGGGGGGTAGGTACGATGCTCAAACACACAATGCATATCTGCCATACTAATCCTCAGCATGCATATGTAGAAGAACATAAGCATTTGTCCTCTGCTGATTCTTCTGTGCTAGATTGCTGATTATGGCTTGAATGGTTGGGCAAACAGAATAATTATGTATATTTTTGCTTAATTCAGCACATCACATCAGTAAAAGCTCGTGAATGCACTGTTGTGGATTTTCACTCAGCGGTGATCAGTCTATGATTTGCAGATATCATCTGTGTAAATTTGAGAGCATCGTCATGCTGTGGGGGTTTCTCATTCTGTGAACACTATAGTGAAAGGCAAACTATCTGCCATTGGAGGGTAATAATGTGTTTGTCCATTTCTGCTAGTTTGTGTGCACATGCGTTAATTTGTCTGTCATGTAAACAAAATATCTCATGAACCAGGGGATGTTTTTAATGAAACTTTTAAAGTAATCATTGAATGTACATTTATTACTGATTAATAAATTTCATTAATGAAGCTGCAAAAGTAGCAAATGCAAACATGCTGCTAATTTGGGTAATTTTACAGTTATTGATCTAAACTTTGGTGTGGTAATAACTGGAAATTATTCTTATTATATACTTCAAGCACCAAGACGCCACACATTCTCGCAGTATTTCCTGAAATTGTGTGAAATACAATGTAATTTACAAAGTTTGAATGAAACACTAAAACCCATTTCTCATAAAATGATCTTAGTTTAAAACTCTGGCATGAAAGGTGGCGAGCAATATTTAATCCTTGAAAGGATAATAGGCTTCTGGTGTGACAAAAACATAATTCTTTGYGCTCAGATGGGAATTTAATATTTGATTAATTGTTGAAAATCACATCTGCATGGTTATCAGTTTGTGATAGCAGAGGTGTAAAAGTTGGCAGAAGTTGGACTTATGGCTTTCTTAGAGGGAAACYCTGAGTGACACAAATGACACAAAAACTGTCAAATGGGCTTTTAGTCATATGCTAAGTATTTTTTTTTACCTCCAAATTAATAAATGTCTGTGCAGTAAAGATTGCTTGTTTTATAGACATCATTTTGCTGTAGACCAAAATAATGTCATGGTTAGCGAAACGGCAGTTTAATGGTGTTTTAATGTATTTGTTCCATATAAAAATTTGTTGATTGTTCACTGAAGTTTAATCAAATTGTTTCACAGGGACAAAACTGCAGAAAAATTGCAGTGTGAGGTCACAATGTTCTGGTAGGGAAGCCACATATTTCTGAAATAGACTTATAAAACATCTTGTTGATTTATTTAACAAAATGTGAATGTTGCATAGGCTGTACCATCTTTTAAAAACATGCAATTTTGATATTGTTGAATATAGCATGCTTAATATTATTGTATAAGTATTATTTGTTCTTTGATGTTTTGCACATTGGTGGTAATGACTTATAAGTAATACCAAAATTAGAATTTATCTACTTATATTTGTGATCTAAATTAAAAATTTTCTCTCTAAACATAAATTGTCTCAATTAAATAGCTAAACGTGACATGTTTGAAGGAGAGTCTCTGCAGAAGCCTTAAAAGTGCCATTTGATTACTTGGCAGCTAAAACAGTCACTGTGTGAATCAAACACACATAAGTGTCATTTATTTATCAAGAACCAGTTTGAGTTTTCCTGTCTAATGATTGGCTGCCTGAGCAAAACTGACGTATGGTACACAGTTCTGCTTTACATTTTTTTAACACAAATTCTTAAGAATGGGGGGCGGGGGTGTGTGTGTACAGTATGTATTTCCCGGCACATAGTTCACTTGTACACCACAATCAAGCAACTTAATTCAAATACCAAAAACTGTGAAAAAGCACTCTATCCAAACRCCTTGAAATTTGCCTCAGTCTCTTTTAGTAACCTTTCATTGTTAATGGCACTCCCACTTCACAACAATGCTTCAGGGGAGGGATGCTCTGTGGGGTGGGAGCTCCAGGGAGGTGCTTTGTAGCACATAAGTGTTTAGGCAGCTCCACATGGCCACAGGAAATTCAATGATTTCTCAAACATGCATGGGTGAGTCAAAGCAACACTCTGGGTATGTTTTTTGATGAGGGAATAATGACATTACAAGATCTAAAGCTCGAAAAAGTTGCTTTTGCATACCCCCACTCCCACACACATACATACACACACACACCCCAAGTAGCTTAAGTACA